ATTTCTCTACATCCTTATCCACTTATTTTTTGGGGTTTTTCTGATAGTAGCCAACCTAAGTGTTTGAGATGATATCTCATTGTGGTTTTGATTTACATCTCTCTAATGATTAGTGATATGGGGATCTTTTCATATATTTGCTGGCTATTTATATATCATCTTTAGAGAAATGTTTATTCAAATTCTTTCCCCATTTAAAAATCAGGTTATTTGTTTTGTTGTTGAATTGCAGGAGTTCTTTATATATTCTGGGTATTAACCTCTTAAAATATATATATATATATATATATATATATATATATATATATAATTGCAAATATTCCTCATAATCTGGAAGTAATTTTTGCACTCAGTTGATTATATCCTTTGGTGCACAGGAGCATACAAAATTTTTAAGGATATTATTGATACATTAATATTAATATTACTTGATATATCCACTTCATGAGGATAAATAGGAGATATTTTTCTTAAGATTCAATAGTAGGAATAGTTAGTTTTCCTATGAACAACTGGTTTGCTATGATCCTGTGAGTGGTGATGATGCCAAGTGACAAAAAAGCTCAATTGTGGCTCAATTAGAATGATGATATTGAGCCTCAAGACTGCATTTTGTGCAGGGGACTCATATCTATGCTCTGTTCCCTTTGAAATGATTTTCCCAAATATTCCTTTTAAATGTTTTATATTTTAGATAGTTTAGCAATCTGCCTAAAATTATTTTTGAGTGGGAGAGAAACTGATGCTATTTTCAATAGTTACTAAAACCATAACATTTCACAGAGAAGGAAAATAAGCCCAGCGGCTATAAATAACTTTCTGAAGTCCACATAATTAGTAAAAGAACAGGAGCCAAGGTTCAATCCAAGGTTTACCTTATGGATTTTTCCAAAATATCAGGCAATTTCTTCAAGCAGTGAACAAAAATTTCCATAATATGAGACAAGAAGTGTCACTTGTGATGTGGTTGATATATCCTCTAAGAAGTCAGAGGAGTGAGATCACTTTCTGCAAGAGTGATCAGGGAAGGCTTGAGCTTGAAAAATGGAAAAGTTAGGGAGAGGGGAGGGAATGACAATGAGCAAAATTGTAGAAATAAACAAAAAATATGACTTAGAAGTACTGTAGTCCAGCTGCCTAACACTATTCCTTATTGAGCGCAAGACAGACTCTGAATAGAGAGAAGCAAAGCATTAAATATAGATTTGAGTGACAAAATGGAGCCTGTTTATTCTGGTGTTATAAATTTGGACTTAATTTGAAGTAGCAGGGAGTCAAGGAAAATTTTTAGCAGGATTCTCTAAGTAAGTTTCCCTAGAACCAGAGGCTAAAAAAGTGATATATTCATAGGGTCTCTCAAGTGAACCTGTAAGAGAGTAAAGTAAGGAAAAGACAGGGGAAGAAAATGGGCAAATATATGGGTTTGGGCAAAGTCTACTCACAGCCTGATCTCATAAGGATCTGGAAGGTAAATGACAAGTCAGGGTCTTATTTCAGTCAGTCTCTAGCTGAGGGCCAACCCAGGCATCTCTGGGCAGGATGGCTCCCAATGGATTGAAGCAATCCTCAGGAAAAGGAGTCCAAAAGCACCCAACCCTCACAGCAACTGAAGGACTGGTCACACTGCCCCCGTGAATGAAAACTAAGCAGGCACCAGCCATGGCATTTTAAAGGATGAACTGGAATGGTAGCAGCCTGAAGAATTAGATACAGATATGAAAGGTCATATTATCTGAACCTGAACAGTGGATGTGAAGCAAAATGACAGCTTCCCCAGAATATCCACATCCTTACCCCCAACCTGGGAATATGTTACATTAAATGGCAAAAGAGACTTAGCATGATTAAGGTTAAAAATGTTAAGATTCAATTATACAAATTAGCCAGGTGGCCCCAATATAATCACATGATCCCACAAAAGCAGAAGCTTTTCCTTGCTACAGTTAGCAAGAGATGAGATGTTTAGGTTTTGAAGATGTAGGAAAATAACAATGCACCAAGATATAGAGCAGCCTCCAAGAGCTGGAAAAGGCAAGATTTCCCCTGGAACTTTAGGAAGGAATGCAACCCTATGATACATTGATTTAAGCCCAGGGAGACTCATGTTGAACTTCTGAACTATAGAAACATAAGATAATAAATTAGCATTCTTTTCATTTGTTACAGCAGCAATAGGAAACCAACAGAGAGGAAGGACAAGACTAATGAATAAGAAATTGATAGAATTCCCACAACTAAAAATAAAAGCCTTAAAGCTAACATTAGCCTCTGTTTTATCTTACTGTTTCCATTTTAAGTAAAATTAATCATTCTTACTACGTTCATCAGAATTCACAAACTTTAAAACCCACAAGAAAAAAAAATAATAAAAAAAAATGACCATTGAATGTAATTGGAATAGAATATAAATGATTGGTACTTTATAAAGGTTAAGAAAAATAGATCTTTAGAAAACCCCCCAATCTTTTAATAGAAGATTAAAAGGAAGAAATTAACTGATAGTTATTATTACATTAGAGACATAGGTATCAGGTCAACGCAAGTTGTAAATCATTCTGTTTGGTGTTTTTTTCAGTATCTGAGATTCACATTTTCTTACAGAGAAATATGTAGGACTGTGAGCTCCACGGTCAGCAGAGAGCGCCATGGGGCCACCTCTTCTCAACCAAAGCTGCTTTCCAGGCAGGCAAATTTAAGAGTGAGCGGCTATGGCTCTGGCAGTCTGTTTGCCTTTCATTATCTGGAACTCTTAAAAAGTTAGGTATGAGAATGGAAACAATTTCTTTACACCAAAATAAGTATTTTTAAATAAAAGTTTACTTATTACAATTATTGACATCTTCCCAATAAAAATAAAAAATACTAAATCTATAATAAATTTCAGCAATTTCCATGAAGTCTTCAAAAATAGGAATATCAGGTAAGTAAATGAAAATCAGCAGTGTATGCAATGTAGTTAAATAGAAACTCCTCTCAGCTAGTACTTGGAAGAGAGAGGGTTTCGGTATGGATGTGTCCTGAAGATCAAGTATCATGGCAACCCCTGAGGGTGAGGGTGAAATCTATTTTCACTTGAAAGAACAATTTCTATATTCTTTAGCTCACCAAAAAGGTGTAGACACCAACTCTACTGCTAGTTAGAACCCAGAAGAAAGCAAGGACAAGGGCCAAGCAAAATCATACAAGCTCATTTATGGATCAGGCAGCCAGGGCTTTGCAGAATATACTGGAAAGAGCAAGTGAACCTAGAAATAGAGATGATGAGGTCTTTGTACTTTAAGTGAACACAGAATAAAAATGAAGGAGCAGAGTTTATGAAATTTCTACAAGTTGTAAGGAAGGTCATGGTGTAAGAAGGAGACCAGATGGGGCAAAGTCAATGATGGACACACAGAGGAAGAAGACTAGAAAAGCAGGACAAAGCCAAGAGACCACATCTGCCACTTTTTCTGCTTGCTATTAGTTTAGTCAAGGTCTAGTTTTGCACAGAGTTGGTACATATATAAATTAATTTTTAAATATGATGGTTTATTAACTCAATACTTAAAAGTATATTGGTGAATTTAACTTTTTAGTCAAATAGCAATGTATTTTTAGGGGACAAAATTCAAAAGGTATAATCCTATTTAGAATAGAAGAGTACTGACTTTATTGTTTTTGTAAAAATAATACAATTATTACATTATAGCTTATTATTTTAAAATGTAATGATTTATAGAATTCCATTTTTTGTGTAGTACTTTCTATCATTCTCTTTCTATGTATCTAGCCACCAAGCCAGCTATAATATGCTTCTGTTTAAAGAGATATTTGGGTCAATATTCACCAAATATTCATGGCTATTTCTAGATGCTTTGCCCTTTTCCAATTACATATCTGAAATCAGTTTTTTTTTCAGCTGAAACAACATATCATAACACAATGAGTGCAGAAGTGGTTATGAAAATTCAGAAGTTTCCAACTAAGCCAGGCATTAAAGAGACTTTAAAAAAAAATGTAAATAATGTAATATTCTTACAAATACCTTGTTTTGGCAAATAAAGTATTTTCCATAAAAAATGTTATCTTTGTTAATATAATGGTTTTATCACTGTTATTTTTTAAATAAACAACATGTAAATTTTTTAGTAGCCTTAATTTCTTACATGGTAAATACTGATAGATGTAATCTACACTAACTAAAGGCTCTTGAGGTCCCTGTCGTAAGAGCGTAGAGGGGTCCTGAGACAAAACCAAACAAAACAAAAATGAGTACTTCTATCCCAATGACTCCTAAATGTATAACTAAGTCAAATCTCTCATGAGTAATAGCGCATATAAATATGCTTAACAGACAACTCAAAATAAACAAGCCAAAAGAGAATTCTTAATGTTACTGCAATCTGCCTAGTGTGCTTTCCCCCAGTTTTTCCAATTTGGGTAAATGGCACTATAGTTTACCTAGTTGCTCCTCTCCCAAACCCAGGAATGAATCATCATTGACTGATTTCTTCTACAACTCCCCACATCGGATACACTTAACAAGTTCTACTGACCCAAGTGTTAAAATATATTCCTAATTATGTCACTTCTCACCACCTTCATAACTATCACCCCGGTGAAGGCACCATCATATTCTCTTCGCATCTTGGAATTTAAAAACAAAACAATTGAGTAAGGTTTCCAAAGAATAGCTATAAAAAAATACAAGTGTCTTCCATATGCTCACCTTCATCATAAGATACAGAAAAAAATACTTTATATATTATTAGTTTTCCTTTTTTCAGTTTAGTGATTCAGTGATTCACTTTTCTCTAACCAAACTCTAAAACTCCTGACTCTAAAGAGTAGTGATATAGAGCCTTCATACGATAACTTTCATAAAAGAATCAAAGCATGTAACTGAAAGTTTTGAAAAGTTAGCACCAATAAATTATACTTGAACACTTTCTATGTTTCAGAAAGTCTTTCATTTAGACAGTGAATTAAAATGGAAATTCTATATTTTCTTTTCAACTTACCTTATCGAGTTCATCTGAAATTGCAATACCTGGGATTCAAAAGAGATGTATAAAAAAAGTTTTAGAAGCAGTCTTTAACAACCCAATGTTAGAAACAAAAGCAAAAGTTCCATTTGTAAAATTAGTACATTTTCCATTCTATTTTTGGCTTTTATTAGTGCTTCAAGATAATGTGGTATATCCTTTCTACTAACAAATTAGGAATTTAAGTCAACTGTAACAACACAAAGTGTTGAACAGTGCAAATGCGCAACAAAAACAAAACAAGTACCATACTGCTTGCAGACTGCAAAATGCAGAGCAAACATGCAAAGACAAGTGTAGAGATGTTGTCTTTATGTTATAATGACAACCAAGTACAGCTTAGCATGTTACAATTTTGTTCCTTCTGAAGAATTGATTTAGACTCCTAGAGTGATAAAATATTATAGCAGAATAGTGGGTGGAGATCATTTATTTTAATTCCCTTATTCTATAGCTGAAAACACAGACAACAGAGCTTAAGGAATTTGCCCCATATTCCCTTAGGCTGACAGCTTCTTGAGCCAGTGGATGAATGATTCCTCCTCACAAGTTTGCCTTCAAATCATCCACACGTTTCTCACTGTTTATCGGTCTAATTTCTGTCTTTACTATTCCTCCAAAATTGGTCTAAGTCAGCAACATAAAAAGTTTTCATCCTTAATTTGTTTATTTGTGATAACAGGCTCTTTTAACCTCATTCTCCTCCTTGAAATGCTGCCCTCGCTCCTCATTCTCTTTGTCTTCTTCACAGGAGTCCTCTTCTTTGCGGGTAGGGAGTCCTTCCCAGAAATGCCTGGTATTCTTTCCTGAGCTTTCTTTTTCACTAATATACTTCCCGTGGTAATCTAACTCATACCAATGACATTTTTATTTCTCTATACGGTGATGACCAGCGAATCTTTATCCCCAGCATAGACCTTCCTGACCTGGTCGCTGAATTCCTGTGGGCATTTCAACCTCGACATGTCAGACTAAAGCCCTCATCCTCCCGTCTCCTCATTTCTTTTTTTGAACAATAGTTTGCCTGCAGCTGGACAGCAGCCATAGGGGCAGGGCCAGGAGCAGGCCCAGTCAGCCCTCAGGTTTGAGGCATGGGGTAAAGGGAAGCTAGTATCAAATCCCAGTGTAGGATGGGCCAAGAGACAAGGAAAGTCCTAAGGTTTGAAGTCAAAGGAAACACAGAGAAAATAAAAACAGATTGTAGCCAATATTCAGCAGGCTATAAATAAAGCCTAAGAAAGAATAAATTGGGTTGGAAAAAAGAACCTGCAAACAGTAGCAAGAAAATAAGTCTGAGGAAAAATCCCCTCACCTGATCAGGTACAGAATGTCTGTACAGAATGCCAGTACTTTGTTGGTTGCTATATATTATTTCGCTCTCCACTGACCTACTAAATCAGTTATACACAAAGTAGAAAAAGATACCCTACTTCATCTCGGTAAGCTGCACGACACTTCCCCTTGTAGATAAAACTAAAACATACATGTATCTGAGACACATTCTTCATCACAGTACTCTATGAAATCATTTTTTGGTAAAAGTTATTGGTAACTAAGAATTCTTATGTGTCACTACGCTAAAAGAGAGTCTAACTACCACTACTGGGATTTGGGGGTACCCAACTTCACAATTATTCAAGGACTCACTGTGTTATAAAGACAGCTCCTTCAAACAACTCAAGAAGACTTCACAAAGGAGCAGCACCATAGCTGGGGTGTGGAGTGAACCACAGTCCTGTGTAGGGGAGCATATGTGGACAGATGAGGGATCCCAAAGTTCTGGGCAATTACAAATATTTCTGAAAGCCTAACATAAGTCACATATTTATGAATGTTTGGGTTTAAAAAATATACACAAATATGAATGGCACTTAGAATGACTCCAATTTCAAGCTAATACAGGAATTTTAGAGTATCAGGTGGTTTATGTCATAGTCTATGGATGATTTAAATTACATTATTCTGGTTTATAGAAGACAAATACATATTTTAAATGCTTGTATTTACATTTATTATAGTACAAAAGAAGTGTTCCTTTCCAACGAGTTCAAGATTAAAATTGAACATACGGTATAAAAACAAATATTTAAGAGCCTTAGTCTATTTTAAAAAAGAAAGAACAAAGATATATTTAAAAAAAAAACTCTTTTCTCCTCCAAAGTCATAAAGCTTAGATATTTAGAATTAAATAATGCATGATTCAAGTGACTCGGATTTTTTAAACTCTCTTGATTTTTTCAACTTTCTGCATTAATGCCCTTGGCCCTGCAATGAGTTTTCTCATTTGATTGTTAGAAAGCGTTCAGTTGATCCTTAAGTTTTTTACCCCTCATATTTATTTTTTTATTTATTTATTTACTTACTTATTTATTTATTTATTTACTTATTTATTTATTTAATTATTTACATATTTATTTATTTATTTACCCCTCATTATTCATAAAGATAATAGTAATACTTCACCTATCTAGAATGTAGCCAAGAACCAGCAAGTAAGTCAAAAGGCCTTTGAATAGTGAGAATAGCCGGCGGCACTTGTGAGCTAACTCTTTGCAGCCTCTGTTCATGGTCCATCACTCTTGATTTTAGCATACATCAGGAGCTCTTTTGCAAGACAAAGAAATATTTGCCAGTGGAAACTGGTGATAAAGAGAAGGTTGTTATGAAGAGATATTAAAGAATGATGAAGTGACAGATCCCAGAATAAAACTCAAACTAGGTAAACAGGAAACTTCATTTGGGAAAGGAATTATGCCTCTAATTGTTCCAGGTGTTTGGCCTTACATATTTTGTTCAAATACCTACTATTATATTTTCCTAACATTTACATATTTTGATGAATTTGCCCAAGAAATTACCTAAATGAATTTCCACTCTATTATATATATAGTTCTTTCCACTCCTTATTATTTATATCAAATTGCCTGGAAATTTTTCACTTTTTGTTATTTCCTTTTTTTTTTTAATTTTATTTACTTATCTGACAGACAGAGATCACAGGTAGGCAGAGAGGCAAGCAGAGAGAGAGGAGAAAGCAGGCTCCCTGCTGAGCAGAGAGCCCGACGAGGGGCTCGATCCCAGGACCCTGGGATCATGACCTAAGCTGAAGGCAGAGGCTTTAACCCACTGAGCCACCCAGGCACCCCTGTTATTTCATTTTTAATCAAAGCTTAAACTGATTAAAAGCAGTTGAAAGAATGTTAAAGAAATGCTCCTTTACAGAAGCATGAAGCCATGATGAGAACAATTCATATTGAAGAGCCAGGATTTTTCTCCTAGTGCCTAGCAGAGCATTCACAGATACTCCCTGAGAGAAGAATAACAATTTTTGGCCATTTCATTAACTCTTAAGAGCCATTGTATCTTAAGTCATATTTTTTCAGTTTATAGAAGCTGAGAAGTGGGGAACAGAGAAAATACCCTGGAAAATATGCAAGAAAAAATACAGTGGGTTGCTATAATATGTTGTAAGGAAAGAAGGCCTAGAGTTTAATTGTGGGACTTTTTATTTCCTTCTTTTTTATTATTTATTTTTTCAACAAATACAGCTTTTATATATTTAATTAACATATAATGTATGATTTGTTTCAGGGGTACAAGTCTATGATTCATCAATCTTACACAATTCACAGCACTCACCATAGCACATATCCTCCCCAACATCCATCAGCCAGCCACCCTATCCCTCCCACCCACACCCCCTCCAGCAACCTAATTATGGGACTCTTGATGCACACTGGCACATGTGGTCTTCCTTACAGGAAATACTGTACTATCAGAGTAGCCAAAGAGGCTTGGCTTAGGGTAGCAATGGGTGTCCACCTTATAAAAGTGGGCTGCCCATAAGAAACTGGGGAAAATGAGTTCCCTCAGAAACTAAGCTTCTCTTCTAGATAAAGAAACAAGGGCTCTGACAGGCATATCAGAGGTGGCTTCCTGGTTCTGCTGTAGTGCAAGCCCATCTGGATGAATTTCACTTGTGTCCTTCAGCCTGTGGGCATTTCCACTTATTCCAATCTCCAAAGAAGTCTCGATGGTATCAGAAATTTATGCCAAAACACAGTTCTCACATTTCCAGATGTGAGTTGTGCTCTATCAAGGAAAACACAGCTATCTGCTTTACTACGATGTGCATCTTCCCAGGTATCAACTTAGCCCTAGAGATAAAATTCAGTTGTAGCTACCAGAAATGGAAGGAGAAAATTTTCAAGAGTCTTTACAGCTTAGTCAGTGTAATTAATCCATGAGGGTAGGTCAGAATATTCGTATTGCATGAAATGGAATGAGCTATTTCTCCAAAATGTTTCCCTATGGAAAAAATCCAAACTGGTCCAAACTAGCTTGTGAGAACCAATTCTGCACATTTCTTCCCAACTTCTCATTGAGTACTAATTGCTAGCCTGAAATAAGCCACATTAGGAGTATTTACAGCATGGAAATTGGCAAATGCTACAAATTAGGGATTATTTTTTGAGTTAGTGTCCCAGGATACTACCAAGGAATGCACAGTGTTAAAGCAAATACCTATGTAAGCATCACACATACCAACAAATTGAACACTGTTGATACCTCAGAACTATACCTGACCATTTGCCAATTAAAACACTCTTTAGATAGGTTACTGACTGCTCTTAGAGCAAAGGGAGTTCCTGCTACAAAGTGAGGGATTCTATCTTCAATATCATTACCAAAGAAAAAAGTTAGGAAAAATTTTCTGTAAGGAGTTAAATAGTAAATACTTCAGGATTTTAAAGTTACATATGGTCTGTGTCATATCCATATATTTCTTCTTTTTTTTTAAGCAACCTTTAAAAATGTAAGAAATATATTTATTAGCTCATGGGCTACAAAGACCACAGGCTAGATTTGGCTCCCTGCTCAGAGTTTGCTGAGTCTTGTTCTAGAAACACATTCCAGCTTTTATCCTTGATTAATTGACTCTTTCAAGGATACTTCCAAACCTTCAGGGTTTTCATCAGGCCCCTACCCATCTCCTCACTATAAA